GAAAAGAGTTAGGGGATTTAAAATGGGGGAACAAAAAAAAAATATGTAGAGAAAAATTCTTTTATTCATTCATTTTTTTTTTCTTCTTTTTCAAAAAAAAAAAAAAAACCAAACTTTAGGAAGAAAAGTGCGTGAAAACTAATTATCTGTTCGTCGCGGTTGGCCGCATAAGTAATTTAACGCTCAAAACTTTCTCGAACTTCTTCTCGTCTTCGCGTCATTTAATCGTTTTCCATTGAGAGAAAGAAAAACGATGGAAAAGAAAAGAAAATAAAAAAAAAAAAAAAACAGAAAGAAAAGAAAGAAGTAAAGAAGTAGAAGAGTAGAAGATAAAAAGAAAATAAATAGAGTTTTGTGATAGAATACTTTTACTTACTTACTTGCTTACTTACTTACTTACTTACTCTCGTCGATGTAAAACTGAAGAAAAGTGTAACCCCCTCCCCCTCCCCTCCCATGGGGGGAGGGCCCCCCCATAAGCACGTTTTTGTTAAAAAGAACCGTCAACGTTACTTACTTTTTTAACCGAGAAGACGAGAGAGTTTAGCTAAATGGATAATGTTACTTTTGCTGGGTTCGTAAAGAGAGTTAGCGCGTCTACCATTTTTTTTTTCTTCTTTTTCTTTTTCTTTTTCTGTTTTTCCCATCTTCATTTCCCTTCTCAGTAGTATAAGTGATAAACCAGTAACAACCACCCATTTTTATTTATCCTACAGTTCTTAAGTTTATCGAAATATTCCAAGGAACACGTTTTACTTTTCTATTTTCTAAAATTCTATTTTTATTTATTCTTCATTCTTTTTTATATACATATTTTTCTTTTTTTTTCTACAAGAATGTTTTGAAATATTTGTAATTAATTTTCAAACATAAAATCAAAAAAAAAAAAAAAAAAAAAAATTATTCAATATTAAAAATTCAAATGTGTGCAACGTTTATTATTTAAAGTTTCGTTGTTTTACTTTCAAGGTTTTTATAAATCTATTTTTTTTTTTTTTTATTATTAACCTTATTGTGTAAAATGTTTTTGTTTTTTTAAAAAATGGTAAAATAATTATTCTGAAACATGTTGTATAATTTTCAATTATTTTGTAATTTAATTATCGTATAATTTAAATGATCATTATCATCTAAATGCTTTTAAACGTACGTGTATAAATTGATAAGCATATAAAATAAGCTATATATATATATACACACACACACATATTCATATAAACTTTATCTCTCTTTTTCTCTAATAATTATATTTTGTGTAGCACATAAATTCAACTTAATTACTTTCCACTTGCTTATTAGCTTTTAAATCGTTCTTAATTAATTCTCTTATTAAAGGTAACGTTAATCTGATTATTTATCCGATGACTTATTACTTCCGAATATTTTATAACGTTACCATCTTTTTCTCTTTCTAATAAATAATTAAAATTAATCATCTTCTTCTTTTCATCGAAAAAAAAAAAAAAAAAAAAGAAAAAAACAACGAGGAAAAAAGTATTCAAACAACTTGTGAAACACTCGTCGTAATATTCATTTAAATCATATTTTTGAATATAAAAATATCTGTAAAAATGAGTGTGTCTTCTTGTGTCTGTGTGTGTTGTATGAATTATAGTATTAAAAAAAGAAAAAAGGTACTTTTTTGTTCTTTTAAAAATGATAGAATATAATTTTCTAACTGACTGTATATCCTCGCAAGGAGAACATTCGTAGAAAATGGACCTCGAACGTAGCACGAAAAATATTTTCATCCTCTGAGATAATTTACACGAGGGAATTTTACTGGTGATACACAAGTATCCTCTCTGTCTCTGTGTATGTGTATATATGTGGAAAGGTATAAAGAAAGATAAAAAAAAGTACAATCGCGTATCGTTGCAATTGCTCTCTTTCTCTTTCTCTGTCTCTCTGTTTTTTTCTCTTTTGCTTTCTCTTTCTGTTTCACAGAACTTTGAGTATTACTAAGAATATAATAAAACTGAAAATATTTTATCAAGTATGAAAAAGAAAAGGAGAATGATGACAAGTATATAGTCAATTGGTTATTTTCTCATATATTGCACGTGATTGCACATGTTTGATCATTTGTATGGAAAGAGATAAATGGATGGTAGACGTTGGGATCGATGAACGATGGTTACGCGATAAACCATGTACGAATTTATTTTCACTATACTATGTATGTGTGTGTACGTGTGTGTGTGTGTGTGTTTGTGTAAGATGTTGCACGATGCACATAAAGTGTGCATCAATTTTATATATGTTTTTCAATTGACTTCGTTGTAATTTTTCTTCCTGTCTTTTTACCATACTCGTTGTGATATAATACATATATATATATAAAATAAATATATGAAAATAAAAATACATAAAATAGAAATAAAATTATACATGAAAGATAAAATAATAAAAAAAAAAAAAAATAAAATAAAATAATAAATAAAAATATGAATATTAAAATATCGATTTGTAGAATATATTTTAAGATAGATTAACGATAAATAAATAAGATTACAATATAAAAAAGATAAAAGAAAATTAATGAGAAAATAGAGAAAGAGAGAGAGAGAGAGAGTTTCACATGTGTGTACGATAGTAAAAGGAGTGACAAATAAAATGAAACTTTTGCTAGAAGGACTTAACGTGTTCGTCTTACGAGAAACTCGAGTTTCTTAAATTAAACGTCAATCTAGTAAGACGTAAAGTGAGTCGGTAAAAGAGAAAGAGAAATACAGAAATAGAGAAAGAGAGAGAATAGAACGAACAGTGATGAAACATAAAATAAAAAAAATAAAATAAAAATCGGGGAAAAACAGAGAAAAGTGTTTTTTTTTTTTGACAAACGATAAACTAGTCATTAATATTTCTTTCTACTCTCTCAGTTTACAATTCATGAATTTTCTTCAATGAAAATTTACACATTTTTTATACAGTTCGTCAAAAAAAAAAAAAAAAAAAAAACTTTGAAGTAAAAGATTTTTTGAATCCATCGATCGGTTCTCGTTCTACTTTGTTGCAATCGCAAAACCGGAGATTGGAAATTACTTTGTCACGACGAACGAGCATCGTCATTACTGCAAAATGAGTAAAAAGAGAGAGTGAGAGAGAGACAGAGAGAGAGAGAGAGAGAGTTCTCTCTAGACGTGGGATTTATGGAAGAAAGCTATTAAATTTATTACGCACGATTGGGCTCAACGAGAGATTATGATCGTGGAAGATCGAGGGTCGACCGATTGAATAATGAAATAATTTTCGATCGTAGTTAGTCGTTATGATCGAGGGTGTAACGAATTGCGATACCTCGATGTAACTCGATGGTTCTATAATCGCGGGAGCTTACCCATACACACACACAACACACACACACACACACAAACCTATCATCTTCCCTCCCTCTCTTGACACGTCAACTTTTCGTCTTTTAATTCTAACATTTACGAATGAATATTAATTTTGACCTTTTGTTCAAGGTTGGATCCAATTAAATACAATTTTTTATCTTTGTCATATTATCATTTACATTGTTAAATTAATAAATATATATATAAAGAAATTGTATAGTAGAAAGTAATATGAAGTAATTAAAAAAATAAGTAGTTTAATAGGAACAATTATATTATCTTTATGTATATAATTCTTCTGTGCGTGTGTATGTCACTGAATTCCTCTTAAACGGCTGGACCGATTTTAATGAAATTTGTTGTATGTCTTCAGGTGGATTCAAGAATGGTTTAGATTTACAATTTGGTCTAATTTAAATTGTTTGTTTAATTAATGTTTTATTTATAAATTGTTATACGACAAGTTTATAAGTTGAAGTTGGTAGATATGTTTTTGTTGATATTATACTTTTCGATATACTCGATATTATTTCGTATTTTCTTTATATATATAAAAAATAAAAATTTGACAGTAGTTGTATAATAAAAAAAAAAAAAAAGAAACATTTGTTTCTTCCATCAGCAAGTGAAAAAAAAATCGTACGGAAAAAAGGAAAAAACAAAATATGATTCGTGGTGTGGTTTGGTGAATTTTAATCAAAAGAAAACGTTTTTCGAAGAAAAAGATCTAACAGGAACAACAACAAAATAAAAAAAATAAAAAAAACGTGTTGAATTTACATGAAAGACAATGGGGCTTTGAAAAACAATGGCAGAATATCTTCGTTAAATTCTCACGAAAGTTTGCATCGTAAAAGAAAGGATTATTCGACGTTAGAATCTAAAGAGAAATTTTACATGCAATGAATTATCATCATCATCATCATCATCATCAACTTTTCGCATACAAACACTTGTTTTCTTTTCCTTTATCCCCTTTTTTTTTTTTTTTTTATTTCTTGTCCTATATGGATAAGAATATTCAACAATTTGTTCCACGACATACGAGAGATATATTTCTTCTAATTTTGAACAAAGAACCACAACATGGACCAGTATCATCTAGAAACGTGTTTGACTCTGTGAAAATTGTCTTACAAATGGGTACACATGCATATTCATGCATGTACGTGACATGTGTATGTAAATGAAATTATTTATCGAACAAAATAGAATTCAGGGGGTAGGTTTGAGTATCGAGTAATGTAATTCTTTTTATCCGAAAAAAAATAAAATAAAAATAAATAAAATTCTATGATTAGTATGAGTGATATTAAATTGTGTTTCTAATTTAATATTATTATTCTTAATATATATAAATTAGGTGTCACGTTGTTTGTCCGCAATGGACTCCTAAACTACTGAATCGATTTTAATCAAATTTTGCACACTGTGTGCAATTTAATCAAACTTGAAAGATGGAATAGTTTATATCTCAATTTATAATTGCAATATTATTTTATTGCGAATTATGACTTAAAGATGTGTGTATCGGACTGATTGTCAGCCACAGCAACGCGTTGCACAGGGCATCCCTAGTTTATTATAAAATTAAATATGAATTTATTTTTATTATATATTTATTTATATTGAATTAATATATAAAAATTGTGTTTACAGAGGACAAGTACCAATCTCTGGGGTGAATGGATGGGCGTGATGCACGGGGATGAGATCGAATACGTATTTGGAAATCCTTTGAATATGTCCTTGAAGTATAGCGAAAACGAGAGGGACCTTTCCGTTAGAATGATCAAGGTTTTCTCCCAATTCGCAACCGATGGGTAAGTGGACTTTTTTTCAAATTTCTATATCGAAAAAGAAGGCTCGGAGTTGTAATTTAAAAATCTTATCTTTTCCTTCAAAGAAAAATAAATGAAAAATAAAAAAGAGGAAGGTACTTTAATAAAAAAAAAAAAAAAAAAAATATGAATAAACAATTTCATTACAATCTTTTCCTTTTTTATCTTTTAATGATATTATAAATAATAAAATGTTAAATAAATTTCAATTGGAAGAAAATACAATTAGAATTTTCAAAATGATAATAAAAAAAAAAATAAAAAATACAATATGAATAGTTAATAAAGAAAGATATGATTGCACTTGTCGTTTTAACAACATGAATGAACTTTAAATTTCTCCCATGCCCGTATTTAATTTTCCAACAACAAACAACGGTGACCGAATATAAATTGGAGAAAGGATGGTAGTATTCCAACGATTCACAGGCCAGAACTAACAAACAACTACGAATTAATCGAAACTTTCAGGTTTATCTGCGCAACTCAATTGATTCAAAAGGAATTTCTATTGTTCAATAGATAAATAAAATTTCATACGAGAATTGGTATACTTTTTCAATAAATTTCATATAAAACAACAAACTGTATACCTATCTGATAGTGGATATATTACTTGAAATAAAAAAGGTAACAAAAATTTCCAAATAAACTTAAAAGTGTAGAGATACAGGAGGATGTTTCAAAATAAATTGACGTATAACTTTTAGGGGTAGTTTTGATAAGTTGAAATATAAAAAAAAAGTAAAAATAAATAAATAAGTTCGTACACGAGTAATAAAATTGCAAGAATTATTCAACAATAACATTGACTATAATTTGAAAATAATTCCGTCATATTATTTAATACACTAAAATAAAAAAAATAAAAAATATATTAAAAATACAATTTGGTATTTTTATTTGACTGTACTGAAAAACCATGCATGAAATATATACTCGTATATTTTGAAACACTCTCTATAAATATATAACATAAATCTTTTACAATCGAGCCAAAGGTAAAATAGCAATGAAACATACCAGGTCGCGAACAGTGAAAAGAATATGGCAAGAATTTTTATAGGAATAGAATATTATTATTATGACATTTCTTACGATCCCATAAGAGATCCAAACCATTTAAATCCAATATCTGTTTTTTTTTATTTTTTTATTTTTTTTTAATTTATTTTAGTGATCTGCACACACACACACACACATGATTTTTTTTTTTTCTTTAATTGAACAGAGAATTTGTCTTTGGTTGTATTCACCGAATTGTAAACATTTCGTTAAACTTAATTTGACAATATAAGTCTCTTGGTTACGCTAAAAGGAATGTTTAAACGTGCTAGAAGTGCAAATATCTATTGAAATATTTAATTACCTTGTGGTTAAGGTTAGTTACTTGGATACAAACTTTGTGAAAGATACGCTTTCAAATATACCCATGCATGTAACAGTGTGTGTATGTATGCCATACATTCGTATATATCATATGTATGCAGAGATATACATAGTGGGTGTAACAAAAGTAACCGATGAAACTTTCAAGAATGAATATTTCATATGTTCCGAAGAAAAATATTGTTAAATATTGTTAAATGAAGTATTTCTGACATGATCAAACTTTCAAAACATGATCTTATTATATTTCAGTATACTTATATGTTTATTTTATTTAAACTTCAGTTGAATATGTAATATGATACCAAATAAGTTGATAAATTTGATATTTAACACTCGCCAAAGTGGATTATCTCCTATTGAAATTTTTAACAAGTGTTTCAACTTTCTCAGATAAATAATAAATTGCAAACTAAAAAGATAAGATTTCAAAGTTGAAATAAAAAATATATTTATGTCAATATTGGATTGATCTAATTTTTTTTTTTCCAATTTGATTGTTCATTTTTATTATACCCTATATATCTTTTTAATATATATATAAATTACGTGTCACGTTGTTTGTCCGCAATGAACTCCTAAACTGCTGAACCGATTTTAATCAAATTTTGCACATTGTGTGCAGTTTTATCTAACTTAAAAGATAAGATAATTTATATCTCAATTTATAATCGCAATATTGGGTAATTCGTTGACTTAAAGACGTCCGATAAAATCGGACTGATTGTGAGCCACAGCAACGCGCGTGGCGGGGTATATATATGCATAAATAAATTGTTAGATGTGTGAGTATTAGTAACGAATCCTAACTTTGAATGGTTTACTTCGTCGAAAGCTTATCCACGATACCGTTCCGAAATAGAAGCTTTAAAGGATTACGATCCTAGCAATGTCCTGTTATCCTGCATCAGAATTAACTGTGTCCAGTCACTAACGGGAGTGATACTACGTGTTACTACGAAGCAAAAGCACCAACGATAAGTTCTCATTCGTTGTGTGAGATTTCGTGAAAATGAATCGTCCAGTTGAAACTTTGTATTTGCCAAACGAATGTTCACTGTGTGTCATAAAAGTTTATTTTAATTCATTATTACGTGAATAATAAAACGATAATTAAACTGATTATTTCATATTTATTTTTTTTTTTTAGTTTAGTTTAGTTAGATTTTCATTAATTATATATTTAATTGTTTTAATATTTTTTTTGTCCATACATTTTTATAAAATATTTTATTAATTCAATTAACATACAAATTAATATTAATTAATTAACATACACAAAAATATTATTATATTATACATAAATATATATAATTATTGATTTACTTTAATTAATTTAAGTATTTATAAATGAAATTACTCGTATGGGTTATTATTTGATCACGAAAATGATACTCTCGAGATAATACGATTAGAAATAATAATAAACAAAAAGCCGATTTAAATGAACAACATTGACATTAGAGACATAATAAACGTTAGGAATCATTAAGTTGCACGCAAAGATACGATCAAATAAATTATCAATCTTACATATTAAACTTAAAATAATCATTTTCTTCACATATAAGACACATTAACAAAACAAAAAAAAAAAAGAAAGAAAAAAAAAAACCTAATGTATAATTTTCAATGAAAAATGAATACCATCACTTTTGACACAATCATTTTAATCGATAATTCATACAATTGATTATACTACCACACTCTCATTAACTTTTTTTCTTATTATATAAAACAGTCATTTTTGTTTGAATGAAAGAATATATACATTTTGTTTTTTTTTTTTACTTACTTACTTCTTGCTTTTCACATCGATCGACGAGTTATTTATCGCATAATGTAGCATGATTAATGACAGGAACGAATGGTGAAACGAATGAAAAAAAAGACAAAAAAAAAAGAGAGAAATTGAATAAAGAATCTACGTGAAAGACATGATTCAAATGAGATATACTAACCAAGGTAAAGAAAAATCACCTTTCTTCGAAGAATATTTCAATATAAATAACCATACACTATATACATCAAATCTAATAACATTTGATAAATTAAAAATATTATAAATAATTATAAAATACATTAAAAAAAAAAAAACCAAATATAATCAATGAAAAATTATAAATGAATCTCGTTAATAAAAATTACATAATATTTTCCAATAAATAAAATCAATTAATAAAAAAAAAAGTAATCGCAATTTTTGTAAAGATTGAAAATCCGTTTTGAAAAATGAGATCAATCGATCTAATAGTTTCAATCATAATTTCGATAGATCGATCAGGTTAAGAACGGAAATGATTTGTGGATTAATCGAACCTACTACTACAACAAATGCATTTTCTCATCCTTTTCCTTCAATAATATACACGTAACACACATACACATGCATATAGTGAGATAGATGAGAGAGAGAGAAACAGACATCAGTTTCATAGTCGGGAAGATAATCGATACTACACCAAGAACCCAAGTAGAGTAGAGGAGAGTTGGAATTTCGTGGCATTCCTCATTCCTGTTTCCCAGTCGCAAGTGTTTACTCTTGAAATTAACCAAAGCTGTCTAAATCGAAGCAAAGCCACGAGGTTCTGATTGCTCTACTGATGAAACAAACCCCCCTCCCTCCCTCCCTCCCTCCCTATCTCCCTATCTCCCTCTCTCCCTCCCTGAACGTTCACTGTCGTCGTGTTCCCTTTTCGCGAAACTGAATACCCCATATTCGAGTATGACGTCTACTAAAACGTCTACACCTTTTATCTATACCACAAATTCAAATAGAAACTAATATGGATTCTTTCAATGAAAACCATATCATCCCTGAACAAATGCTAATTATAAATCAGTTGTATCATCAAACTGTGTATTCTACGAAAGATTGAAGTAAGGGCACTTAAAGTTGTATGTGGGATGATAATATGTGGGTGTATTTGAGATAAATTCATTGACAGTTGAAACAGTATTCTATTGAATAACAGGTAATAATTTGTTATATGTGTAGGTGTGTAAGATAAATCTATTGACAGTTGAAAGAATAGTATAAAGGGTACTAATGTTAGTTGGTTTGTAAGATACAGTAAAATCTAGTGTTGGGTGTTTATATTTATATATATAGATTCATATATGTACTAATGATAGTAAACATTTATTTATATAATAGATGCAGGGGGGGGGGAGGGAGGTGGGTGAAAGTTTGAATACCAATCTGATTAGAAATTATCGATGCTAAAATTTGCCCATTTCCATTCGTTGACATAACTGAGATCACCAAGATAATTGGCCAATCTCCGACTAAAGTAGCTTAAGTCTTTGACTTTATTGACCCTTATGCCATGTCACGTACGAACCCTATCCTATCTTAAGCTTCATACAACAAAACGAGAGAAGAATCTCTATTTGATGTCTACAAATGTTTATCATAATCAACTTCCTTTCATGATAACATATCCTAACTTCTCACAACAATCTGCTTTGAGTTATAAATAATTATTTATGAAAAATAACCAAACTCTCATCAAACTATTCTTCGAAGTACATTTCTACTTTCCAATAAATAAAAAAAAGAATCATCGACATCGGTTAACCCAGTCGAAAGTTCTGAGGTAACAAACATAAAAAAATAAAAAATAAAAAAATAAAAAATACAGTCGAATTGAGAACCTCCTCCTTTTTTGAAGTCAGTTAATAATAGAATATAATTTCGAATGAATTAAAAAATTGAACAAATATTCAAATCAATTTGAAAATAAAAGTAATAAAATGACAATGTACGAAATAATAATAACAAAGAATGAATTAAACATTAGTTGAATGAATTTTGTTTGATTAGAAAACCAACGGAAGATGAGAAAGTATGGCCGCCATATACGAGAGATCGACCAGTATATTTCATTTTTAACGCTGAGAAAAAAGGGCTCGGTGAAGGACTGCGCACGACGTCATGCGCCTTTTGGAACGAGTTTCTACCGCGACTCAAAGGAGTACCCGGTACGTATTACACACATACACACGCACATACGTACACATAAATGAAAGAAAGAACAAGAAAAAGAAAAAGAAAAAGAAATAGAAAACAGGGAGTTTACGTGCCGTAGTCAACRCGAAATGCTTCTTCCATCTTCTTCTTCTTCTTCTTCTATTCAATTTTCTCCTGAACGAGAAAACTCGTCGAAACCTTTTGGCTTCGTCCTAAAGGACGTTTATTTTACGCTCAAACTGTTACGTATTTTCCTTTGTCCTTTTACATACTCAGAATAAAGGATTAAACGATCCCACTTAATTACCTTAACCCTTTAAAAGAGCTTTACACAATGTTGCTACTACTGCACTGTCCTTTTTGTTGTTGTTGTTTTTGTTACACTACTGTTACTGACACATACTTCTCTCTCTCTCTCTCTCTTTCTCTCTCTTTCTCTTTTTCTCTTTCTTTTACATGCTAGTAAAAATATTTTCAAACCAGTAAACCCACAAATTAATTAGAGCACACGATAAAAGAGATTCATCAAAATCCGTTCCTTCAACAAATGCCTTTTTTTTTTTTTTTCTTTCCATTCTCGATTGCCAAATCGATCATTCTCATTCCTTTTAACGAACCTTAACGAACATTAACGAACTACGATCGATCGATTCTTTTCCAAACGAACCGAGATTATCCTTCAATTTCTTTCCTTTTTTTTTCTTTTTTCTTTTTTCCATCTCATTCACTTTTTATCAACGAGAGTTTTAGTACTTGTTTTCTTGATTAAATCCCTATTTCGTTTCTCGTTAAACAACCAATATATAAATCTCCACCAGTAGCTTCGATAACGATAAACAAAGTATATTTCTATGTATATTTGTGTGTGTATGAGAGAGAGCTAGAGAGAGAGATAAAAAGAACATCATAACGTAGATCTCATGCACTTTCATATTTTTGTTTATTCGTTGCATTTCGAATTATGGAAAATCAATTGTTTACTCAACGAAATGAACGTTGACATTTTCTTTCTCTCTCTCTCTCTCTCTTATTTTGGTGCATGCAAAAGAGAGGAAACATTTCCAAATATTAAATGTAACTGTACGAAGTTTCAAACTTACGGAATATCCTCTTTCATTATCATTCATAATTATTTTCAAAACTGTTTAACGATGATCATTAAAATATTTTAAAGTTAATGAGAGAAAGAGAGAAAGAGAGAGAGAGAGAGAGAGAGATGGAAACTGTAATGGGAATATTCAATCCATTTTTGTTCTTTTTCAACTCTTTACAAAATTGAGAAATACTTTCTGTTTTATCTGCGAGAATAATACGAGACAGGATCTTTGCATTAGCATATTTAAAACTCACTTCATTTTATCGTCTACCTGAAAATCAACCTTTTCTCTCTCTCTCTATCTAACACACCTGCAAACTCTTTCAACTTTTACTTTCTTTTTATTTTTTTTTGGAATTGAATGCGTTGAGCGCCACGTCAGTCATCGGTGGTTGACACCAGACTTTCCATTTAGATTGCAACCCTGACGCAACCCTGACGGGAATTTCCCTGAGAATTCGCGTGACACTCAACGTGTTATTAATGAACAATCAAGTAATTAGATGATTCGTAAAGTCGTATCGTTTTTTGCTGACACATTAATGAATGCCATTAATTGATGCAAACCGATAAATAGTAACACATGAGATCGATGAGAGGTGATAAATTGATCAAATTCAATTATTTATGACCACTTGAATGGTTTAGGTTTAACCTAACCGAAGCAAAAGAAACTTTCGACTTTCCGAATCACCTAATAAATATTTGCACGCTTCTTTTTATTTTTTTTTTTTTTATCAAATGGGAAAAAATGTTTTTTTGTTTGACTGTATTTTGTTTTTTATTTTCTAGATCCAGTACCGGAAGCTTGCAACAGTGTGATAGCTTCAAGCGTATCCGCTAGTGGAACTGATCGACTTATTTATCGAACGAATCAACAAGATATTCTACTTTTATCAATGGCCACAGTTACGTCCATCTGGACGATTATACTTTTACGAGTAGCGAATGGTTAAACTGATTATTACTAATTTTCTTATCATCAAACTCTTCTAAAATCTCTCTCTTCTTACTATTAGCTCACAAAGTTTTATTACAATTGATATCAATTATTTTCTTATTTTTTTTTCTTTATATTAATTTTTTTTTGTTTTTTTTTTGTCTTTTCAATATGTTCATCCCTTTCTCATTTCTTTTTCCTTGTTTTTTTTTTTTTCTTATTTCAAATAACCCAGATAAAAAACTGAGAGTACGAAAGTTTTCACTTCGCGAGGGAGATGTTGTTGGAAAAAAAATTTGGAAAAAATAAAAATACTAATGAGATGAAAAGAGACAGATATATATATATAAGAAAGAAAGAAAAAGGATTTTTTTTATTTTGTAGGTCAAAATCTTTTTACCCCCCACTTCCAAGATCGAAAAAAAAATAATAGAAAAACAAAACCTGCGAGCTTTTCTCCTTCGCGAGTTTCTCTTTGATGTTTAAAAAAAAAAAAAAAAAAAAAAAAAAATATGAGTCAAATATAAAAAGGTTAACTA